AGCATGATGCAAACATTTCTTTGAAAGACAGCTTTGCTGAAATACGTTCTGCTTTGATCCAAATAGCAAGGATGAAGACAGACAGCAACTACAAGAAGCGAAGCAGCCAGCTTAGCATCAAAATTGGAAGATTTTAAATTGGCCTTTCTCTGTGTGCTTTGGACTGTATACTGGAATGGTTAAATGCCACAAACAAGACACTTCAGAAAATTGAAATTGAAATGGCTACTTGGCTAACCTCTATGCAGGCTTAGTGGAATTTGTAAGCTCACTTCGCAATGATGAAGCTTTTGAAAGTTTGAAGAGAAAGCTAAACTGCTGGTGAAAGACTACAGTTCCGGGCCTGATCATTACTCAAGGAAGAGAAACGCAATTTTGAGAGCCGACAATGAAATTTGTGTTGCTACCAAGGCAGAAATGTAAGACAGCTACATACTTTGTCATTCTGGATTCACTGATTACAGAATTGGGTGAAAAGAAAAGAAAACTACCAGAATCTCAATGACAAGTTTGGATTTTTTGTTCAAAATTACTACTATGCCAGATGCAGAATTGAGAGAAGCTGCATTAAAGTTGCAACAACACCTTTCAGCAGATGTACAAAGGACACATTTTGTTGAGGAAATAGCTCATTTTTCTGGGTATATGAATCAGATTAAAGCTCCACCCTGAAAAATGTGTGTCCTCAGCTGCTTTGAAACATTTAAGAAATGCAGGTTATCCAGAAACCTTCCCCAATGTTGACATAGTGTATCGCCTATACCTAACACCTCCAGCTACTAACTGTGAAGGAGAAGTTCATTTTCTGTTTTGAAAAGAGTGAAAAACCAGCTCCGTTGAACAATGAGCCAAGACAAATTTTGTAACCTAGCCTTGTTGACCATTGAGTCTGATCTAACAAGAAATATTTAAATTTTTCCCGAATATAATTGATGATTTTGCCAATATGAAATCCAGAAAAAAGTTTTATTTAAGAAGTGCCTGTGAATATAAACATTCTTTACTTTCTTGAGTTTAATGATTTGATAGTCTTATGCATGATGCAAGATAACAATAATGGTCAGTGAATTTATAAAGGGAATAATAGTGCTGTAGTGGTTATGCTGAATATAATAGGTACATGATTTTCACTACTTGAATAGCCTAATCTAGTAATACTATGCTGTCTTGAGCTTATTCTCTTTAAAATGCATGATTTAACAAGATAGTTATAATGGCTGTTGGTAAATGGTTTTGGTTGTCTTCATGTACTTTCCCTATTAAATTTAATCTAAATAGCCAGAATATATTTAATTAGACCTTAAACAGGCTCACACCGACCCCCCCCCTACCCCCAAGCTGGATGGGGTCGCTTCGCTTACCCGTAACTCAAAGGGGCCCCGCCAATCTGAATAGCATAGGGCCCAGAGACTTCTTAATCTGGCCCTGTGTGTGGTAGCACTGGACATTGCTGGTGCTTTCGACCGGGTATGGCACCAGGGCCTCTTAGCAAAACTTCAAGCACTGGGAATTGCAGGCTCTACGCTATGTCTCCTCAGTGACTACCTTCATGGTAGATCTCTAAGTGTAGTTCTCAATGGAACGGAATCAGCAAGACATCCTATTGGGGCAAGTGTTCCACAAGGAAGCGTGCTGGGACCATTGTTAAGGAATGTCTACTTCAACAACCTTCTTCATCTCATCCCAGAATCACATGCATATGCAGACGACTGCACACTGACATTCACTTATCCAAGAGAAGAAATGCCAGCTGCTCTAAGCTACATCAATCGCCAGCTGAGAGCTATATCAGCTTGGGGAAATAGATGGCAAGTAACATTTGCACCTGAGAAAATGCAAATGATGATCGTCTCTAGGCACCATGATGGTAATGCTGGTGCAGTAGTAAGGATGAATGGGAGGGTGTTGGCACCTGGAGAAGTAGTTGATATCTTGGGTGAAATTTGACTCCAAACTAACCATGAAGAACCATGTTGTAAATCTTGCAAACAAGGCAGCCAGGAAGCTTACACACTTCGCCGTATCTCGCATCTACTTGACAGTAGGGGTTGCAAGATTCATGTACGAGGCACAAGTACGCTCGCACCTTGAGTATGCTCCACTTTCTTGGTTTGCCTGCCCACCCTCTCATCTGCGACTGCTTGACAGAGTAGAGAACAGAGCAAGATGTCTCATCTCTCGCCTGGACCCATCCTGGATAGGTCTGTCATTTCAGCAGAACCTTCAACATAGGAGGGATGTGGGTGGCCTTACTGTTATGTACAAAGCCAATATTGTCAAAGTACCACACTTGGATCCACTTCGAGGACAGCGTGAAACAAGCTTTTATGCCACAAGACGGGCAGAAAGCAGCAACTTCACTCTGGCTGTACCCTTCTCCAGAGCTTCACTCCATCTGAGATCCTATATACCCAGGATGACTCGAGTATGGAACACATTCGTACAGCATAATGATGTCAACGAGATAAAGTCAGTTGATCAAATGAAAATGCTGGCCCACAGATGGCTCCAAGTTCATCCTGTTCCCTACTTCTATGTCTCATAACAATAAAAATGCTTTCAAATGAACTGATGTAGGTAACAGCGCTTAGCTTGCCAATAAAGTTAGGAATCCTTAACCTGTAAATAGCTTGTCAATAAAGCTAGGGATCCTTAACCTTGTCAAACCCTGTGTAAAAAAGAGAGAGAGAGAGAGATAGAGAGAGAGAGAGATAGAGAGAGAGAGAGAGATAGAGAGAGAGAGAGAGATTGAGAGAGAGAGAGATTGAGAGAGAGAGTGGGGGAGAGAGAGAGAGTGGGGGGAGAGAGAGAGTGGGGGGGAGAGAGAGGTGGGGGGGAGAGAGAGTTGGGGGGAAAGAGGGGTGGGGAGAGAGAGTGGGGGGGGGAGAGAGAGGGGAGAGTGGGGGGGAAGAGAGAGTGGGGGAGAGAGAGAGAGAGAGAAGTGGGGGAGGAGAGGGAGAGAAGGGGGGAAAAAAAGGAGAGAGAGAGAGAGAGTGGGGGGAAAAGAGAGAGAGAGTGGGGGGGGAGGAGAGAGAGTGGGGGGGGGAGAGAGAGAGTGGAGAGGGGCTTTTTCCCCTATCACTTAAAACCTCTTTCACATCCTCCCTTCATCCTTCCTAAGACAGCCCTTACCCCCCTTTCTTCCATCCAAATTTATATATGCTCTTGGTCATCTTATTCTACCCCTCCTTTCTAAATAACCATACCATTCAACAACCACTCCTCCCACCTTAGAATTATACCTTTAATAATCCAATAGGGTCCTCAGATTTTATCTCTGTATAAAATTAATGCAGCATGATGTTTTCAACATGAAGTCTGCACTGCTGCACCCGTCTCCTCACTGCAAAGTTTCAAGGTCATGCTTACACCATTTAAAAGTGTTAGTACCAGTAAGCCTTAATTCCCCATTTTTAGCCCCGATAAACTTCCTTTCTACAAAAGCCTCCACACTCCATCCATCCCTTTTCTCCGTGTGTATTGTATAGTTCAACTTGTCTTTCATAAGCCCATCTGTCAACACTTTCATTCCCAAATCTCAAAATAATTTAACTTCCTCTATACTCCTTCATTCCAATCTGACATTCAGTATTTCAGTGCCCAGGCTTTTTTGTTGCTCCCATCATACTACTATTTTCTATATTCACTTTTAATTTCCTTGCTTCCTTTGGACACCCTCCTAAACTCCTCCACCAACCTCTTATCACACAATAGAGTAGAAAAGTAATGTGAAGGACCTGGGAGTGGTAATGTCTGAGGATCTCGCCTTCAAGGATCACAACAGTCCCGCCATCACATTTGTGAGGGAAAATGATAGGACGGATAATGAAAATGCTCAAAACAAGAGATGCCAAGCCAATAATGATCTTTTTAAATCACTTGTTCTGTCTCTAGGCTGGAATACTGCTGTACATTAACATCTCCATTCAGATCTAAAGAATGTACAGAGAACCTTTACTGCACATATAGGTTTCATCAAACACCTTAACTACTGGGAATGCTTGGAGGCACTTAACTTGTACTCAGTGGAATGCAGGCGAGAGAGATGCATCATAATCTACGCCTGAAAAATACTAGAGGGACTGGTCCCCAATCTGTACCCAGAAATCACTCCCTACGAAAGCAAGAGACTTGGCAGGTGGTGCAACATACACCCAATGAAAATTAGGATTGTCATTAGTACACTAAAAGAAAACTCATAAAATGTCCAGAGCCCAAGACTGTTTAACAGCCTCCCATTAGGAATAAGGAGAATTACCAATAAACCCCTGGCTGCTTTCAAACAGGAGCTGGACAGATACCTAAAGTCAGTGCCAGATCAGCTGGGCTGTTACATGTGGCCAGCAGTAACAGTCTAGTTCATCAGGCTCTGATCCATCGGGAGGCCTGGTCATGGACTGGGCCACGGGGACGTTGATCCCCGAAATACCCTCCATGTAGGTAGGTAACCTTTTTGTCATGAATCTACTAAAAGTGTTGTTATCAATAAAGAGCAACTGTGACAACTCCCTTGTTGTATCAGATTCATTTATCTTTGAATCCCACAATCCTCCCCCACCACCCTAGTATATTTGCTTTTTTTACAACCCAATCAACAACAATATTAAGCAAAAATAATGACATCACATGTACCTTATGAATATATTAATAAATTTGCAAATTTGCTTAAAAAAGGGCCCAATTACTAGTAGACCCATCATCAAGAAAACTTGAAATATTCAATTAATCTACTCCTAACCAGTGAGCCTGCTAATTAGCAACTCAATAAGGCTTGGTCAAAACCTGGACAACAAGGATGGGTGACAAGTGGAACCACTTCAGGGTAAATTCCAGGTATTTTTTGTACCTGGGAATGTAATATAATACTGCATGTTATGAAATTTATGAAGCTTTGTATTATTTGCAATTTAACGTTTCCTGCATAATTAAAACAAACATGACAAAAACTATTTATAATAAAAAACTAAATAGAATGTAATACCTGAAATTAGTACGCTTACCTTTCACTCTTCTGGATAGTAGATGTTGCTTAGATTGCTGCTGCTCTTGTGCAACCTGTTCATTCTGCTGCTGTTCATCAGCTTTCTTATATTTTCTTTCTCTTGTTTTGTTTTCCTTGATGCAATCTCATTTGCCATAATTGCTGCGGCAGCTTTTCTCCGTGCCTCCTTTTAGCCAGAATTTGTTCTCTTAGCTGCTTTTGCTGAAGCATTTTTCGTTGAAAATTCACTATTTTCACTAGATCTAGGATTTTCGGAAAATATATTACAAAGGTAAAGTCAAAAATAGTTTGAAAAACCATCATTTCTTACATATGTAAACTCAGTACAGATTTACTAACATGCATGACATACATGAAAAACTAAAGTGTAATGAACACTTGTCAATGCTCAATAATAACCAACATGGAGACAGAAACACAGGATGTTATTTGATCTGTATATTTCAACCCTCTTTTGGGATCCTCTTTAGCAGATCTAATTTAAATTTGTATTGGAGAACTTCTATAGTTTTTTTTAACGAAGAGAATACATTTAAAGATCTTGAATTTAAAATGAACTCTCTCATTAAAAATTACAACAAAATCTCTAGTTCAGACTTTTTTTTTTAACATGTCAGCCATTTCCCACCATGGCAGGGCAACCCAAAAGAAAAAATTAAAAATAAAGGGAAAAAACTTTCATCACTCATACAAATTGATGTTATTGCAGAGGTGCTCAGATATGACAGTTTAGATGTCCCTCCAAACTGCCAATATCCCAAAACCCCCCTTTTAAAGTGCATGACTTTAAAGTTCCCTTCACAAAATATTACCCTGCTTTCACTCAAAAACTTGTCAGGTCCCCAAAAAACCCTTTTTTCTGCATTCACTCCTATCTAACATCCTCCCCCCCTCATTTTTCATCTGAATATAATTAAGGCAACTCCATGGGAAAGTAGAGAAGAATCCTTCCCATATAAGACATACATTCGTAAGAGGTTAAACTAAAAATGCCAGGATCAAGGGGGTAGTAACTCTTCCTCCTGTATAAATTAAATGAATGTAAAAAGAAGCGAATCTTTTGTTTCTTCTTTTTTGGGTCCCCGCCCCCAGTGGGAGACGGGTGGTTTTGTAATAATAATAATAATAAAAAAATTAATAATAATAATAATAAAATAAAAAGGGTCTGATATATGAAAATAGAACCCCATGCAAATATTTTTTTGGCCAACTGTATTAGTGTACTTATGATACCAAGAACCTTCTACTTACTACTTTTTCAAATGGTTTGCTTGTTTAACTGGCTCTCTGGCAGATGCATTTGCCTCCTTGTTTCCTAGAATTTGTTGCTGTTTATTTCCTTGATTTGGTGGTTGTTTATTTCCTTGAGTTTTTTTGCTGGACATTTCCTTGATTTTGTAGCTGTTTTTTTTCCTTGGTTCTGTTGCTGCTGCTGCTGCTTATTCCCTTGATTTTGTTGCAGTCTATTTCCTAAATTGTGTTGTTGGCTTCCTTGGTTTTGCCGAATCTTAATTTCCTAGATTCTGATTCTGCTGCTGCTGTTTTATTTTCCCACATTTTGTTGCTGGTGTCCTTGGTTTTGTGGCTGTTTTTCCCTGGTTTTTGCTGATTCCCTGGTTTTGTTGCAGGTGTCCTTGATTTTGTTGCTGATATCCTTGGTTTTGTTTCTGGTGTCCTTGATTTTGTTGCTGATATCCTTGATTTTGTTGCTGGGTCCCCCGGTTTTGCTGCTGGTGTCCCTGGTTTTGGGGGGAGTTGGGGGGGATGCGGTTTCTTTGATTTTGCTGTGGATTGTTACTTGGTTTTGCTTTTGAACAGGAGTGATGTCCACTGTTTGGATAGTTGTCAAAATTAGGATTGTTATTGGTACCAGGCATAGACAGCCTACTAGAAATGGGCCCTTTTTTAACAGTCCACCTCGCTGCCTATTCAATGCACCATGGGAAACTTTTTTCTCTGAAAATAAAAGGTCAATTTTTTAAATACTAACAACGAATGTTATTGTTATCAGCTAAACAAGAAAAGCTAATCTGTGGGATGCTAAGAATAATGTTGAAGCATTGTGAAGCCAAGTCCACTTAGAAGAGGAGGATGGTCCATGGCAATAGATATAGTGTTGCTGTATGTGGCAAGTATTGTTATATCAATGGTATACAAAACTGAAATTTACAAGTGGATGAATAAAATGTAAGTGCAACATTTAAGTATCATTGCAAGTGAAAAACTTTTGGGCAATAAAGATACCCAAAAACTGCAATTGTCATATTTATCTTCTTGATATATTTACTTGTCCGAAATGGTAACACAAAGGTATTTGATAATAAGCCTTTGAGGGTCCATCCCACAGTTCTATGGCTTAGAAGCCTGGGCCCAAGCCGTAGTTCTACGCCATGAACTCAGCTCACTCAGATAAGCTGTGAGTGGAAATTTGGGCTTAGATATGAGAGAATGCTCTATGTGGTAAGTGTGTACCACATAAAACAAATCCTGAAGCATGCAGTGCATAATGAGAAAAAACTGAGACCACATTTTTATTAAAACAGCATATTTTTGTATGATTTTTATGGTTGTACTTGCAGTTTCTTGGTCTCATTTGATAGAATGGATGATATATTACAAAACAGAAATTATTTCTTGGTTTTAGTACGAAAATATTTGAAACTGAGATCAAAATAGCGAAATGTTCAAATTTTTGCTGATGTTTAAGAGTAAACAAAAACACATCACCATCCAATACACATCACTGGTGGACTAATGTGCGTTCATGAATGTGCTGATATTATCATACAATTATTATAATAATGCATAACGTACATCTTCTATTTTTTGGTGTGAATAAAAAAAATTTATTATGTGAATAAAACATCAAAATGGAATTCATTTGTAAAAGCCTGGAAAAGTAACTAATAAACAGAGGAAATGTTATTTTAGTGCCAGGAATGCCTGCATTCCTTATCTGGACCCTATTTTGAAATTGGAATATTTTGAATTTTGCATGAAATTGGTCAAATTAAACCCAAATTTCCGATCACTTTATTAGGTAGTTTTAAATAGTTACTTGGGGCATTTCTATGCTCAATTGATAAAATAAAAGTAATACTAGCAATAGCTAAGAATTTCATCGACTGGGAAAACTGTATTGGCCTAAAATGGGAGTCAAAATAGGCAAAAATTGCCGATGCATAAACATCGTTGATGCACCAAATTCGCGAGAGCATAATTTCGTCAATTTTTCCATCAAATTTGTACTTTTTGTTTTTACCCTTTAGAACAAGATTCTCTACCATTTCATAAGAAAAAAAAAAAAATTCTTTTTTAAAATTCTTGGACCCTGTGGACCCAAAATTTCCCGATTGGCCCTGAAAGGGTTAAGGAACTTTAAAATTTTTTTGCTCAAAAAAAT